AACAAAACAAAAATTAAATATTACTTTATAAGAAGGGGAAAATCTCTTTCAGTCAGTATTTGCATGTGTACAAAACACATTGTTATTATCTTCCAGCTGTTATTTGGTTAATCGCTCCTCTCATGTTCAAAAGACAGAATCAAGCAGTTGCACAAATGACACAAAGTGAGTTACAAATCACCTGGTGTAAAGCTCGAACGAATGCAATTCAAATATTTTAGTTAATCCTGTTTTTGCATTGCATGACATTGCATATTAAATTCTAAGGTAAAGGCCTATATCATTTAAAAGCTCTACCTTTCTTAAACGGTGTGGTCTTTTCTGTGGAACCTGTCTTTGTCTTTAGAAAGTACAATGTGATGCAGACTTAAGGAAATGGGATTTTGCAATATGTAAGACCTGAAACTACAAGGTTTCAGTTTGTTGAAAATGAAGAAGAGCAACATTTAAAATGACTTCCCGCACTAACTCCTGAAGAAATATTTTCACAAATTTATTCCTTACATTTGCATGGCAGAGGAAGAAAGCACATGTTTGGAAAAACAAATAGAACAAATGAGCCTCCTTCATAAAAACATTTGTATATATCCTTAATACATTATATATATTTTTATTCAAAATCTATATCAACAACTGTATTAAATAGCAATATTCTTAAGAAACAGGCCATGTCTATAGTTCAGACCTAAAGATCAACTACAGGATGTTGTAAAAGATTTTGTTGTTCTGACCATATACTTTTAAACCTGCATGTTTCTATTTATTTCTAGCAGTCAATGAAATGCAAGCTGGCAGATTAAATAAGCAAGCAAACAAATAAAGATTTAGCAAGATTTAGCTTAGCAAGAAATTTCTTTAGATGAACCACACTGACCAGAAAGACATATGAAAGGCAAAACCCCAAACCTCCTCCACTAACCTGATGATGAGATGAGTGGTTTATTCTCTGTCTTCAATCACCATGAATATTGTTTCTGCTTGTTGCCAGCAGAAACACGATGGTAAACTTGTGTTAGAAAACCAAAAACACAAAGCCTTTTAAAGAATTGTAGGTGTGGCTTTTCTGAAATCTTGCTGAATATGTGATTACATAAAAAGGTCCACATTGTCCCACCCTTTTTCTAACTCCGCATTGCATTTAAATTCCTGCCTTCTGGTAAGTGCAGAACATTCTTTCTCTTTTATGTCTGTGGCAACCCTCACTCTATGAGAAGAAATGGAGCATATCCAAGACGAGTTCGTTGCATGTGTGCACGGCTATGAAAAAGAGGAAGTGTCAGGCATGACATATGAAGATGGGGGTTACACAAGGGAGCTCACACAAGACTGAGTTACAATCAGGGAAGCTGCTGTAGGGGGAAGAACACCAACACCGGCACTACTGTGCAGAAATATTTTGCAAACAAAACAAAAGAGAAAGGGCCTGTATCAGAAACATCATGTTTCTGTTTGCATCAGTGAGTGGTCAAAAGACAACATGCAGCAAGATGTTAGATATATTTAGAGTATTATTTACATATACATGCCTGGTTGTCACTGATTATCACTTGTGGTTTGTTAGTGCTAAGGAATGAAAAAGCAGCGGCAAGAAGTGGTGAACAAGTCTGTATTTGATCCAGAATGAATTGCAGATAGTGTAGTCGTAGTTTAAAATCTGTAACAGTGTATCTGTGAATATGTAATTATGTGCACTGGTGTGCTGGATCTCCTGTGTTGCTGCAAAAAATTTTCCATCTTGTGTAATCTTAAATTTGAGCAGTAGAGGTCATCCTTAGTCTTCTTGTGAGCAGATCACTAGCTCAACAAGCTTGTGCATGTTGGTGGCTCCCAGTGGGATTTCTGGACCCCATGGAGAAGAAATTATCTGCCTCTTTTAACTACAAATTTTCCTTTACAATAGTCCCAATCACCCGACTCTTATCTGTGTATAAGCTTGTCCTGCATTTCCCAGTCGCCACCTCAGTGCACCACCTTTACTGCTTTTACCTGTTTTCCTCTCCCAGTAGCCTCTTGACCTGTTTGTCTCACCTTTAAATTGTCAAAGGGTACAAAAAATAGGATTTTAAAATGGTTGAAAGTATATTTAAATCTCATAGATTATCAAATACTAAATAAAGTCCATCTTTGTGCTTGTGCAACCAATTCAGATGAAGCAATGTGAGAAAGGAACATCATAGTCATAGTCATACCCTGTAAATAATGGTAATCGCATGTATGTTTAATATGCCATCCCTTTAGTAAAACCATGTTTTATATAACATATTTGGTTTATGTTGTGCTTATGTTAAAACTGTTTTTACACCATATTTGTTGCACATATGACAATTTAGTTTCAATTGTTGAAGAATTTATTCAAAGAATATTCGAGTGTTTCAAAAGCAGAACAACATCCTGTTCGATCCTGGACAAAATAATACACTAAACTGCTTTCATCAACATGTATTTGAGTGTGTGAAATCAACTTATGGAATTCACAGCACAAAAAGTCACAGATGACTGATAAAGACAGGTCACACCCTTATGATTTCCTCCCTCAGTCTTCCTCACCTGTGGAATAATACAATGTTGTAGGGGTTGTGTCACAGCTACAGCAGTCTGCTTCTTTCTAGTGATGTTATCTCACTCATTCAGCTTTCACCATTTTTTTCTCTTTACATCCTTGAGGGTGTTTCTTTCTCTTCTTGCCAACCGGAACACAAGTCTCGGTGGTGAATGCTTGTTACACAAGAGCATTTTTATTCAGTCATGAATGCAGATCGACAACTAGAAACAGCTGTGGAAAATGTCCAATATAAACATATCAAACTGAATGGGAAACACTGGGTCTAAAAATGTCTTCAGTGCAACTGCTTAATTTATATCTGAAATGGAAAGCATGCAGAAAATAATGTGGCCAAAAAGAAAAGAAAAAAAAGAGTTGAATAATAAATTCAACAATGATATTTAAGATACAATATCACCTTTGTGGCAGTATTTTGGATAGCCCTCTTTCCAGTTCCACTGTGAGGGTACCACAGTGTGCAAAATGTGACTCATCAGCTAGTGGAGAATTTTTCTTTATAGCATGGGGAAGCAGCCACAAGCAGTCAAAACATCCTTTGGAAAACTACTGCACCATGCTATTGATGTTCCAGCAGCATGTGATATACTTCAAACTTTGCTCCATGAGATAACTGTAATTCTTTCCTCCAAAACATCAATATGTCCTTTAGAGTCGATTCCTCAAAGACGTTCTACCATTAATTAATGTTTCAGTCTTAAGTATGATCAACCTGTCTCTATCAATTGGAAAGATACCACGGGGCTTCAAGCTGGCAGTAGTTAAACTGTTACTTAAAAACCTATCACTTGACCTAGATGGTTTAGCTAATTATAGGCCAATCTCCAACTTTCCTTTTTATCTCAAAAATTCATGAAAGAGTAGTTGTTACAGAGCTAACTGATCATCTGCAGAGCAATGGTTTAATTCAAGAGATTCAGTCAGGTTTCAGAGCCCATGACAGTACAGAAACAGCTTTAGTGAAGGTTACAAATGATCTTCTTATGGCCTGAAAGTGGACCCATCTTTGTGAGTGTCCTCTGAGACCTCAGTGCAGTGTTTGACACTGTAATCCATAATATATTTTTACAGTGATTAGAGCATGCTGTAGGTATTAAAGATACTGCACAGCAGTGGTTTGAATCATATCTATATACATATTTGTTAACGTAAATGGAGAATCCTCTCTTCACCCACTGAGGTTAATTATAGAGTTCCACAGGGTTCAGTGCTAGGACCAATTCTGTTTACATTATATGTGCTTCCTTTAGGCAGTATCATCAGAAGGCATAGCCTTCATTTTCAGTGCTATGCAGATGACACCCAACTTTATCTATTAATGAAGCCAGATACAACACACCAATTAGTTAAACTGCACGAATATCTTAAAGACATAAAGACCTCGATGACCTCAACTTTTCTTCTTCTAAATTCAGTTAAACCTGAGGTTATTGCACTTGGCCCTAAAAAACTTAGAAAGGTGGTATCAGACCAGATTCTTACTCTGGATGACTTTACCTTGGCCTCCAGTAACACTGTCAGGAATATTGGAGTCATGTTTAACCAGGATATGTCCTTGTGCATATTAAACTGATATGTAGAAGTGCTTTCTTCTATTTGTGCAATATCTCTAAAATTAGAAATGTCCTATCTGATAAACTAGTTTGTGCATTTATTACTTCTTGGCTGGACAATTGAATTCGTTATTATCAGGCTGTTCTAAAAACTTCCTGGAAGCCTGCAGTTGATCCAAAATGCTGCAGTTAATTAAAGGACTGAAAGGGACTAGAAATACAGAGCAGATTTCTCCTATACTGGATTCTCTTCATTGACTCCCTGTTAAATCCAGAATCAAATTTAAAATCCTTGTCATCAAATACATTGTCTTGAATAATCAGGCCCGTGTTATCTTAAAGACCTCATAGTATTGTGTAATGCCATTAGAGCATTTAGCTCTCAGACTGCTGGTTTACTCGTGGTTCCTAGCAATAGACTGGAAGCAGAGCCTTCAGGCCCCTCTTCTCTGGGCTTCCAGTTTGGATTCAGGAGACAGACATCTTGGTGTCATATGATTTGCAAGGGTTTTCTCTGTTTTTGGTCTATTAATGTAGGGTTTTTACTTTACAATATAAAGCGTTATGAGGCACCTGTTGTTGTGATTTGTGATGAATAAAGTTTAAATTAACTGAACTGAAAGTAAGCAAGCTTGAAACTATAGAAATAGTCCACTTTTTTGATGACTCCTTTTTGTCTAACTGATGTTTTCTGCTAGATAGCAATTTACAAAGAGCAAGCCAGGGCTGAAAGAGTCATATTGGACAGACAGAAAGATTTCATCGACAGAATATGCTGGAAGTGAAGCCAGATCCAGATTTGCTGGTCTGACTGGTAACTCCAGAGGAGGTGTAGGCTGCCACTCAATGCTGGAGAGGTGTGGTGGCAGAACAACAAACCCCAGAAACAGGTGAAGAGTAGAGCAATTAAATAATACAGGTGGAGGAAAGATAAAGTACTGGTCTTGCATCCAGTGCTAGCTGTGATCACCAGTGTGAGTATATATATATATATATATATATATATGTGTGCTTTATTTAAAAACAGAGTGAAAGAAATAGGTAAGGAGGTGTGTCAGAAAATTGCAAATGTCTTTACTTCAGTCACTATCACAGCTCTGCCTTGTCCTTTCATCACCAGTGACAGAAAGAAATCAGTTTGTGGAACCAGCAGAGGTACGTGGACATCAGTGGAAAGACGGAGAGAAAGTAAGATGGCCGAGGAGCCAAAGATTGAACTCTTTGTAAAGGTAAGACATACAACAATCTTGACGTGTTACAGTCTAAGCAAAAACCCTTCCCATTCCCAGCTACTTGGTAACACAAGGTGACATTTTCCTGTTTGTTTACATCTAAAGTGACAGAAATGTGTCAAAAAAAAGCTTTTAACTTTAGCAAACTACAGTATTTCAGTGTATTTAAACTGTAGTAAAGCATACAATGCAGGATATGGCAGAGATACAAACCAGTATTACAATAATAGGCTTTTTAATCTGGGTGTGAAATTCCTTTGCAGTTAGCTTAAACTGCCAGAGCAGAGCAGGCTTAACGAGAATACCTGTGTAGGTGCTCATGGTTTTGTTAGATCCTGATACTAGAACCCACGTACAATTGTGCAATTTTATGATCATAAAAGCTTGTTTTATACTCATCTGCTGTGACTGCAAAGTGTCTTTGTTTCTGTCTGTCAGGCCAGTTATGATGCTGAGAGTGTGGGGAACTGCCCTTTCTGTCAGAGACTCTTCATGATTCTCTGGTTAAAAGGGGCCAACTTTACCCTGACCACTGTAGACATGAAGAGGTGAGAGCACATTTTATTCGTTTTTCAAAAAGTCTTGTAGAATCTTTAAGAGCTGGGCACAAAGGAGACTGGCTTCATACTGCTTTTTTGATGTAGTCTCAACAAAACTACTATTTACATTGTTTTTCACAAGTTCCATTCAAGGACAGAGAGTTGCATTTGTAAAAGAAATGGGAGGAAAGTCTGATTTACATTATAAAAGCCACCCAACAATGAAAACCTGCCAACACCTCACCCTCCACCAACCCCACTGAGTTCAGGAAAGGTTACAGGGACACTAAATGCTATGCAAGAAACAGCCACAGCAATAAAACATATAGGCAGGCAAATTATTTACATTCATACAGGATTCAGTTTTTGGTAAAAAATTGGTAAAAAATTTATTATGTGAAATGGTAGATTACTGAACAGAAAAGACTCTGCCTGGTGTAGGCCAAAGGGCTGAGATTCTGAAGCAGTCACACAAATGACCGCAATAGGTTACGAATGATAAGATGCTGAAAACGAGTACAAAGAGATATTTGTGAAGACAGATAACAAGATGACGCAAACAAATATTTTACACACCTGCAAAGAAACACAAAACCTCCACGAGATTCAAAACAATAACAAAAAAAAAAAGAAAAAAAAAGAAAAGGTTTGAGAAACACTAGTGAGAAAAACAAATGGTCAGCAAACAGTTGTAACTGACTCAAAAGTGACACAAAATTAAAGCAAACAAGCTCAAAATAATCAGGTTTATATCTAAAACAAATCAGTTTCCATTCCATTTTTAAACAGGCAAAAACACAAATGTTGTGTTCACTTGTTGACACTGCCCCCAAGTGTCAGTAAAATCAGATATTGCAGGTTTAAGAAAACAAACACACACACGGGAAGCTGAATGATATTTACAATGTATGAGTGAGAATCAGGCGTAAGAAACACCAAAACCAACAATAAAAGAATAAATCCCCCACGCAAAGGTTTGACATCAAATTTAAAGCTGTCCTTCTGATGAACAGGCAGCGGAAAGGGAGGGGGCAAGGAGCAAAATATGCTGCACTTCACATAAACAACATGAAAGTTAATTATATAAAATACACTATTTAGATCATATAAAAATAGGAAGCTTTCATTCCGGTGTCTCAAAAAATTCTGTAGGAAGGTGTTAAGATGGTTGCTTGTACTCCAGCAGTCATTGCTTATTCATGTTTTGCAAAAGGGGGAAATAATGAAGCCCTGTTAATCTATAGCACAAAACAAAAGCAGCTCAATGGTTTCAAACCCGTGTTTGTATTTTTTTTGTTAAACTTATCATGTCAGTCTATTTTTCACTCAGTAGGAATCACTACAAACCAAATTTAGACTGGTAAATGTGCCTGATTCTAGAAGAACACTTGCACTCGTAAACGAATTCATAGCCATAAAACACATTTGGTAGTGAGAACAAACCGCAGTGGATATTAAGTCTTTACCCCTTTAAAATTTAATTAGGAGTAATCCTTGAAGCTCTTTTCTGAATAGAACAATTTTTGTCATATTTCAGGCCTACTTATAGAACAAAAACCACTGGGCATGCATCAGAAGTCAGCGAGGGTGGTCTCTACCTATGCAGCTACTTTGAAAAAAAAAAGAAGCCAGAAATTACTCTAATCATCAATGGTCATCATAGCATGGCTTTATTTATATATACTGAAGTGTCAAAACACATCATTAGAAAGTGATCCTAGCATGCTTTTCCATAGCATTTGCTTGGTTTAGGCTGGGAAGTTAAACATTTTAACTTTCTGATCAAGTGTGCCAAAATAAGCCTTCACTGATCTGTTGCAGGGCTCCGAATGTACTGAAGGATTTGGCTCCAGGCTCTCAGCCTCCCTTTCTCATCTACAATGATGAAGTCAAAACGGACACTAATAAGATTGAGGAGTTCCTGGAGGAGGCCTTAGCCCCACCACAGTGAGCAAAGTGCACCTTGCTTCAAACATATGAACCACAGTCTTTTCAGTCCTTGAAACACACTGCATATCTAACCCATCACTGCAACACCAAACATTAACAAAATGTTTTATTTGATTAACAACAGGCACCCAAAATTGTGCTGTCGTTACAAAGAGTCCAACAGTGTTGGAGAAGACATCTTCCGAAAATTCTCAGGATATATCAAGAATCCCAATCCTGGTTTAAATGACAGTAAGAATTTTGAAATTTTCAAGTCACTTATGCTATATATATGATGGAAAGAGCCACCATGGGTTAACAGAAAGCCTGCAACTTCTTTCAGTGCTCGAGAAGAAATTTCTTTCCACTCTGGTGAAGCTGAACATGTATCTAGAAACTCCTCTCCCTCACGAGCTGGCCAAAAACCCAGATCTTACTGTGTCTTCACGCCTCTTCCTGGATGGTGACAGCCTTACCTTGGCAGATTGCAACTTGCTTCCCAAACTCAACATTGTCAAGGTGAACAGAATTCAGCAATCCTATGTGTATACAAACCTTTCGTTTTGTTTTGTTTTTTAATCCTGAAGAAGAGAGAAATATTCACTGTTATCTGAATAGTAGAGATGATTTGAGAAATGTAATGAGTCATTCCTGGACTTATTTGTAAAAATTGCTCTTCCCTCAGGTGATGATTAAGGAGTACCGTGACTTTGCCATCCCTGCAGAGCTCAAAGGTCTGACACGTTACCTAGAGAATGCCTACAAACGGGACGAGTTTCGCCACACCTGCCCAAATGACTCAGAGATTCTCCTCGCCTACCATTCTGTCGCCCAGTACCTAAGCAAATAGAGGAGTGAACCTAAACAGCATTCATGAAATTAAAGAAAGTAAAAACAGAAAGAGATAAAATGCAGATGACTCAGATATACCATGTTGAAAATTAAGTTCTATATCTGTTTAAATTACATCTGTGTGGACAATAAAAAAAATGGCAGTTTAATCATTTACTTTCTATAAAAAGTATAGTTGTTACCATGACTTTGGCTCCCTCTAGTGTTTCTCGAGTGTTTTTGTAAATGCCGTGTACGTGCGTGTTTTGTGTCTGAACGTAATGTTAAGTGCACTTAATTCAAATCAGATTTTAAACTACACATTATTTTAGCATACACATAAAAAGATGAATGGCTGTACATAACTCCTCTTTACATATTTTTATATAGTGACTGCATATTAGCAGTGACCGTATGAGAATGGTTTAATTTAAATGCATAAATGGAGGGTGAAGGAAAGAGTATATCTATTTATATGGACATTATGGACATACATTAAAGGTTAAATATGAAAAAGTGGCTAATGTTGGTACATGAATGTTTGTATATGAATTTATTAGCTACTAAATTTCTGCTTTAAAGTTGTCATGAGTAATCGTTTTTATATTAAAGTTGTATGGTGAATGCAGATTTTTCATCATCATGGAATCCAAAACATTGGATGAAACTTAATCAGTTTTGTTAATAGCAAATGAATTATGGTAATAAAATTATTGATTACATGTCTATATGACTCTTGATGTATTTATTTCTATGGAAGCAGTATTTCATGCAATATAGCAGTAAAATTCACTTTCCAAATCTACCTGACCCTATATACAAAAGTAATTGCCCCCTAAACTTAATGCCTGTTCGTGCCAGCCTTGACAGCAAGAACTGCAGTGAAGTGTTTACAATAACTGGCAATGCGTCTTTAACATCACTGTGGAGGAATGATCATCTCTGCTTGGCAGAATTGTTTTACTTCAGCCATAATGAGAGTTTTTGAACTTGAACAGCCTGATTACGGTTATGCCAAAGCTTCTCAACCTGGTTTAAGTCCGGGCTTTGGCTAAGTAACTCCAAAACCTTCTTTTTGTTTTGTTTTTTGAACAATACAGAGGTGGACTTCTGGTGTGTTTCTGATCATTGTCCCTCTGTATTGCCCAACTGCTCTTGAGCTTCAGGGAATGAACTGATGGGTGGAGATTTTCCTTCAGGGTTTTCTGTTAGAGAGAGGAATTCATGGCAAGTCATGCAGTCATGCAGGTCTTGAAGCAGCAAAGTAGCCCCAGACCATCACACTACCACCATGTTTGAATGTTGGTATGATGTTCCTTTTATCAAATGCTGTGTTTGTTTTATGTGGGATTTAACAGGCCCCAAGTCTTCCACAAAGATTGTCTTTTGTCTTGTCAGTCCACAGAGTACTTTCCCCAAACTTTCAGGGATGTTTTATTGACAAATTTTAGATGAGCCTCTGTGTTCCTTTTGGTTAGCATTGGTTTTTGCCATTGGATTTTTCCCATGGATGCCATTTTTGCCCACTCTCTCTTTTTTAAATTGTTGAATAATAATGAACTCTCACTTTACTTGAGGCAAGTGAGGCCTACAGTTCTTTAGAACTTGTTCTGGGTCCTTCTGTGACCTTCTTTCCTATAATCCTATAATTCCTATAATTTATAATCCTTATCTTTATAATCTCTTCTGCTATTTGCACATTCTTTACTGTAAATTCCTAAGTTAATTTGTAAATTTTTGTAGTAAACTGTAAATTGTAAATATTGTAAAACTTTTCTTCTGTCATTTAATGGTCGGGCATTGTACAGCTACAAGCATTTCACCCCCATGTCATACTGCGTATGGTTGTGTGTGTGTGTGACAAATAAAATTTGAATTTGAATTTGAATTTGAATGATTCGTCAATGTGCACTTGGAGGTTTTTTGGTATGGTTGCAATGCCTGGGAAGGTACCCTACTGTTCCAGGTTTTCTCTATTTGTGGATAATGGTTCACCATGGTTCACCTGCCATTTCTAAGTCTTTGAGCTTAGAGAAATGGCGTCGTAACCCTTTCCAAACGGACAGATATCAATGACATTGTTTCTCATCTTTTCTTAAGTTTCTTTAGCTCGTGATATGTTGTATTTTGAGATCTTTTAGGCTAGTTCACAAAGAGGTCCTAGGTTAAATCAGGACTGGGTGTGGCTAGTTAAAGCTCATTCAGCTTTCGTATTTTGTATTTACACATGTTATCATTGTCCAATATTAAAATGTATTTGATCATGTGAAGTAAGTGTGACAAATATAAATATTAAACGTCTGAAATAGGCAAAGGTAACTCGAAAATGCTATAGAAATATTAAGCACTACAAGAGACTGGTCGAGAAATAAACAAACTCCACTTCCTCTCGGATGTTTGTAGCCTTCAAAGATGCTTTGTTAAAAACAGGAAGACGAGGATGTGCCTAGTCCGTTTCTGATTGGATAAATGATCTGAGCGCTACCAAGGTAACAGCGGATAAGGGCGGAGCTAAGCAACTGACAGCATAAAACTTTGTTAGCTTCTCGCTAACTTTATTCTAGCTTCTGTTTAGCTATGTTATCAGCTTGAAAACGGCACCCCAGGATGCTCGAAAAGTAAGCCTCGTGGTTTTTTTACACCCTGTCAACTTCACAGAGTTTGACTATCTAAGTTCTTCAAAATAACTTGTGAAGCAGCTACTCTCAGTCAGCTGGACAGCTGCTAGCGAATGTTATTTTAGCTAACGTTAGCTACTCCATTCAGACGTATTCAGTAAATCGTCTAAAGCTTGACGTCTATCGAAAGTTACTTTGTTGCTGGCTAATTATAACACCTATTCGTGTTTTGGTAATTTTATTAAGATGAATTAAGAAGGCGACACGACGCTACATGGCGAGAGTGGCTGCTAACATACAAATCCGTGTTCCCCTTCTTAATAATTGCCTTTTCCTCAGCAACTTTTGGTTCCCCTCGATGGCATGTGATTTTTGGGCTGCAGACTCAGCGTTAATAGAGATTTTTGTCTTATAGGTTAGAGTGTCATGGAAAGGATGATGGAGACCTGTGCAAAATGGCCAGTTCAGTAAGCGCATAATTCCATTTAAAATTATTCCTAACTTGGTTTGAAAGGAGAAAAGTGAGTTAGTTGGGAGCTACCAGTGTTGAACATGTATTACTTGAATCTGTTGTGTTATATTTAGGTGGTAACGATGAGCAGAACTGATTTCCGTGCACGGCTGCCACAGTTTTTGGAGGAGAGGATGCAGACCAGCATGGTATGAAATGGAAATTGAGTGCCTGTGTTTTGTACAAGAAATGAGGGCCCTGGATACAGTGTTATCAAATCGGGCGGTTTTCCACTCAATAGAGCTCGTTTTGCTTAGTTATACGGGTAATTTAATTGTGATGCAAAGTTGGACTAAAAACAATTTTACAAACGTGCTGTACTCTATGTAACTGTGCTGTCATGTGATCATATTATTGCCTCATCAGTCTTGTTTGTCTTCTAGCTTACAGGTGTATTGATTGGAGCTATGGTTGCAGTTGTGCTGATTGGAATTGTGGTGCTCTTCCTTTACAGGAGATTCAAACATGCCCGTGAGTCATCTGACCTCTTGCTGAACTTCATATTTATTCTATGTATATGTATGTGTATGTGTATATATAAA